TTCTAACACAAAACCACTGAAATGCGTAGAGCATGGACCGAGAAGGAGAAACACATCGACGTAACACTGTGATATTACAGATCATCAACAGATACCATTCTCATTTATTCATTTATTTACATTTTATTTATATAATTAAATCAATGTTTTGTTTGTTTTATCTGAGTGTTCCAGGGAGTTCTCTGAATACCTTGAAGGCCCTGACGGTTCACCTCTGGTTAACACACAGCCTTTCAGAGCAGCCTATCAGAGCAGAGCTTCACTGTGTGTGTGTGTGTGTGTGTGTGTGTGTGTGTGTGTGTGTGTGTGTGTGTGTGTGTGTGTGTGTGTGTGTGTGTGTGTGTGTGTGTGTGTGTGTGTGTGTGTGTGTGTGTGTGTGTGTGTGTGTGTGTGTGTGTGTGTGTGTGTGTGTGTGTGTGTGTGTGTGTGTGTGTGTGTGTGTGTGTGTGTGTGTGTGTGTGTGTGTGTGTGTGTGTGTGTGTAAAACGTTCTCCACAGCAAATGATCCGGGCCAATGAGTGAGCGTTTCTAAAGGTCATAAAGATATCTTTTTATGTTATTAGTTTTATTCTTTTCTCCTGATAGCTTTGTGAAGCACTTTGAGATGACGCTGTTTTTAAAGTGTGCTAAATAAATGAAATGTATTATTATAATTATTATAAAGTAACTGAAGGCATCCTCAGACCTGAACGCCTCACAAGTTGTTGCTCACACTGACAGCTTCAATCTGATAGGGCACCCTGGTCGTCATGGAGACAGGAAACGGTTTCTGTAATCTGTGATCATCAGCGTCTTCATAATCACTTCCTCAGAAAGGCAGTTCAGGGAAGTGAGCGACACTTGAATCTATATTTGAATATATGTGTCTCTTGATGCTCTGAAAGCTCTTTGAATGGCCTCGTGTTGAAAGATGCTTTCTCAATAACCTTTCTTTGCCTTTCCTTTAATGGAGCGATTGAACAAAGGCAGGGACAGAGAATCAAGACGTCCTCAGAGAGAGTCTGTCTCCTTCTACAGACCTCACACTGATGAACACAGAGAGCGACTGGACGGCAGCACGACCCGCTGTTCACACTGAGATCACGGCCTACAGAAACACCTGATCACGTGACTCACTGCAGAGGCCTTCACACAGCGGGGGGTTCGTCTGAAACAAGGGGGGTCCTGAGAGTCCACACCTCAAATCAAGCTAACCAATCATGTTGAGTCTTTATCAATGAGGATCACAGAACCTCTCCACAGTCAGAACCAAGCTGGTTCTGACTGGTTATTTTAAATTGGTGTTTCAAACACGTCATGTGGTCTTAATGTGATCTTATCAAAGTTCAAGAGAAATATAAAAAAAATATGTAATAAAGCACATCAACACACACACACACACACACACACACCACCTTTGATAAGGACATGCAGCATATTGCACAACACCTCTCATCACATCATGGGGCTGTTGCACAACCCCCCCCCCCCCCCGCAAGTGTGAATGGAGGTTTTGAACATTTGGTGACATTATTGTGGCTCATCAGTAAAGCCTTACATATAAATATATAAGCTGGCAGACATCATTGAATGAATTTGAACTGAACAATAACTGAATGAGTTTCACTCTTAGACCAGCAGGGGAACCAAATCTATGCAGACTGCTGCAATGAGTACATTAATGAACTGTCTCATCAATGTTTGTCTGAACGAATATGATAATATTAACAATCATATTATTCCTATCAGCTGTAAATCACTGTTATGATTCCCATATTCATTCATTATTGAATAAACTATAGTTTTTGGAGAGTTAATGATGAATGTTCCTCAAGATGCTTGCTCACCCTCCTTCAAATTTGAAAGACAAGTAATTATATCATGTATCAAAACTCAAAAGATTCAAAGGAACAGTTCAGCACCCCACGACTTTACTGCAAACAGTTACAACCTGGACTTTACATCAGAAAGAACAGACATTAAAGAAGTGACTAACTGCATCAGTTAGGGTAAAGGCCCTGACACACTGTCCCGAAATTGACACCCAATGGACACACGAATATGGAATTGTGAATTTCGCACGAAGATGGCCCCGAACCACACACGAAGGCAACATTTACATTACATTTAAGACATACAACTGCAACGAAAGTACCAAAAACAATTATGTTACAGTACTATGATACTGTACTGATATCTTCAGACTTTGTTCTTTACTTTATCCGTCGTTATATGTAGAAAATATTACGTTTTCTCCGTAATGTTGTTTCCATAACAACAACAACTTCCTGTCAACTGTCCTTCAAAATAATATATTATATCCTTTTTAGTTTCACAGAACACAAATTGGGTTATTTACATAATATGTTTACATGATTTTGTTGTGCAATAAAACAACCCGATGGACACACGATAAAGGAAATGTTCAAATTCGGCTGTGATCGTAGCAACATCGGGCCATTCGTGAGGGCATCTAAGCCATCGTATGACCGCCGGTGGAGTTTCTCAGGCTCCGGCAGCAACTTCGTGAGCGGTGGCAAAATCTTTGGCATGCCAAAAAATTGCCGAAGGACCTTGCGAAGGTTCATTTTCGTGTTGAATTTGTGTGTCAATGTTGCCCTTCGTAAGGCCATCGTGAGGGCATCTTGTTATCATCGGAGCCATCGGGTATTCGCCCCGATCAGAGTGAGGGTGAATGCACCGATGATAACACGAAGATGACACGATTTGACAAGATGCCCTCACAAGTGCCTTACAAAGTTGCCACTCACGAAGTTGCTGCCGGAGCCTGAGAAACTCCACCGGCGGTCATACGATGCCCTCACGAATGGCCCGATGTTGCTACGATCACAGCCGAATTTGAACATTTCCTTTATCGTGTGTCCATCGGGTGTCAATTTCGGGACAGTGTGACAGGGCCTTAAACAACGTGTGTTCAGCTGAAACATCGCTGCAGTTATGATCCAGTGGAGAGTCCTCACCTGCTGGCCTAGTTCAATCAAAGTGGTTACTTTGTTTGGCTGGGCAGTGAAGTTTTACACACCGTCAGATTTGACTTTCTCAGGACTTGAAACTGTTTTTTGGGAGCAGACCCCCTCAAAGAAGAAACATTTATACACACACACAAGGTCATCATCTTAACAGTTGTTTATGCTCATCGAGTCATCCGTGAGCAGAGCATCAAGTTGTCTATTACAGCTGAATGCTGCGATTTTCTCTCATACATTTCCGATGAGCCACAACCTTTCTTTCAAAACAAAGATGGCAGCTGGGGTGCCACCCCTGTAGATCCGCCCCTGCTGAAGCGTGATGTATTTGGTTATTGGCGGCCAGATAAGAACCGGTTTCCTGAGTCTTAATGGGAGCCTCCAGCTCTCAGGAGCCTCTTCTGTGGAACCAGCCCCCAGTCTGTTGGGGGGGGGTCCACATTAAAGAGCAGCTGAAGACGTCCCTTTGTATAAAGCTGAGAGTCAGGCCTGACATCAACGCCTAAAGCAGGGGGGTCAAACTCCATTTCATCTGGGGCCACATCAGCATCAAGGTTGCACTCAAAGGGCCGGTTGTAACTTTAGGACTATATAGATAAATAAATAAATGTATAATATATGTAAAATAATGTATTATACGTTATTGACTCTCTCAGAAGACTTTTCTTTTTGTCGCTGCTTTTAATTGAACTCTTCTCATCTTAAACTGCACTGTAACTTTTATCCATGTCTTTTTTCTTTTAATGTTTCTTTTATTAACTTTTCTTTTTAATGACTTATTTTAAATGCCATTTCTGAATGTCTTTCATTTTTTGTAAAGCACTTTGAATTGCCTTGTGTTGAAAGGTGCTATATAAATAAACGTGCCTTGCCTTCGTGGATCAACAGGATTCCTCCTCTCCCAACTTTGCTAAAAACCTTTATCCATAAAAGCTGCTTAAGAAAACATTTATAAAGAAAATGTTCAGATCTGCTTAGAGGGAGATGTCTCCTTCTTTGACTCTCCTCCGTGCTGCAGGTTAAGCACCGGATGTTGATGTGGTTTGACATGCAGCTCCGAGATAGAGATCAGCAGCCCCGCCTTTACATACTCTCACAGCTCTCTGGACCTGAGACAGTGACAGCACGTCATGGAGAGACAGAACTTTACCTCTGAGGATGCTTCATCCCAGTCAATGCAGGAGATCCTGATTGGAATCATTTGGACTATTCTTTCATTTAGTTTTGATTTCCCCAAAGTGGTTAAAGAATGGGGGATTTGTGACTTTGATCTTAGCTATCCCCATTGTACTTATTAGAAACTGGCAACATGGCCTTATCAACCGGCCAACGCTGAGTTGTTTATTGATTGATCCATTTTGAGCAGAAAGGAGAGTTCAGTTGTGTTATTAGTTTCTTCCTCTCAGGGAGCAGTTCAATAAGTAGAATCATGTTAGAAGCTTTTTAACTGCTGGAAGTCATTAGAATAGCTTTGCTCACTTTGGAGATTTGGACCAACTCCTTTTGTAGTATCTGGTGTTTATCCAACTCCTGGTTGCTAATGAATTTAAAACCAAGTAGATGTAACAATATTTGTAAGAAAATGTGTGATATTTACTATTGCAATGTTCCAGTCCCTTTAGAGACGTTCTGTTGAGTGGTTGGTTGGTGATGGACGCTTATATCAGAGAGAAGAGTTATCTGATCATGAGCCTTGCCTTACTATAGGATAGTAATGTATTATACGTTATTGACTCTCTCAGAGGTCTAGGGCAAATCATTCTCTTCAGTGTGCATATCACAAAATGAGTAAGACATCATTCCAATGTGTCCTATAGGACAGAAACACAACAGGTTCAAAGGGGAGTGATTAGTCAAATATGCATGAATAAAAAGAAAGAACACTAACTAGGTGAGAAGCCCTGAGACACAGTTTGGTGAGAAAAGACCCGCAGGCCCCGGTACCGGGGGCTCTCGGGCTTAACAGGTTCATGAGGATCACAGAACCTCTCCTTAGTCAGAACCAAGCTGGTTCCACCTGAACCTGTTCCTCCCCGGACTCTGGTCCTCTGCTCTGCGACTCTGATCTCTGAAGAGTCCTTCTTCTACTTTTCTGCACACTTTGTTTTTTGCAGCTGCCTTTGTTCAGTCTGGCTTTTAGTTCTTTAGTTGATTCAAAATGTTAAGCAGCAAACCCCAAAGTTAGTCATTCTGTGTGTGAAAGAGTTTGTTATTTGAAATGAGACATTTACGTTGACTTGCTCTCCTTCTAAAGACTAGCGTTGGATCATTCCCCTCCAAATAGATCATGTTCAGCCTCTGATGTGATGATTTGACATGTGAAGAGAGGAGAGAGCGGGAAGTGACCATCAGATATCAATACCATATCCACACCATCAGATATGTTTCCAGAGAGACTCCACCTCTCGCTTTACGCTGATATAATGCGAGGACAAAACACGAGATGCTCAGAATAAAGAGAGAGAGAGAGAGACATGGATCACCTGCTGCTGCTGGTGATGCTACTGGTCTGTAGCTCAGGTAAGAATCCACTTTGTTATTTATTATATTCAAATATCTTTGTGATCTCTCAAGAAAAAACTACTCGTACACACTGACAGCAACACACACACACACACACACACACACACACACACACACACACACACACACACACACACACACACACACACACACACACACACACACACACACACACACAGGCCCGGCACCACCACAGACATGGTGCACTTGAATGCTACGATGTGTGTGATCTTAGATAGTAACTCAAGTGTATTAAATATATCCTTCGTCAAATACTCCACATGTGTTGGATAGACGTTAGTGATTTGTGATTGGCCCACATTCAGACCAATCAGGAGCTGAGCAGCACTAAACTTGTAGAAGCCGAGTATGTTGTGTTCCAACTGTTTCTTTGCACACGATTGAAGGCTCTATACGAGGTGATGGGGAATGGACCATCAATACCCTCCTCACCTCCTTCCACGAGACCCTGGGAGCCATGCCGAGTGTCATGGGGCATTTCAGTGCCTGAACTCTCGGGGTCTCACTGCAGAATGTGGGGGTCTGGAAAGCAGCAGCAGGGAGATGGTTGCATGTGGAGTAGACATCGTGGTGCTACTCTGTGTTCTGTGCTCGCTGCTCGGTCAGCGGTTGCCCAAGTTGAAGGCCCAAGCAAAGCTGCTTTGTGTTGCCATGGTGAATGTGTGCCTTGCTCCTGAGCGCTGTGCTCCCAGTGATCGTGCCGCCGTGCACACACACACACACACACACACACACACACACACACACACACACACACACACACACACACACACACACACACACACACACACACACACAGCTACACACCACACACAAATAGAACACACACACAAACACACACACAA